TTCACTGGAGAAAAGTAAAAGAAAATTGATTTCTTGAGATGAATTAAAATGCATTCGAAACTCCTTTTTGCACATTTTTGCACATTTTTTCCCTTTCTTAAGCTATAGAAATTCAAGTGGAGAGGGAAAACTCAAGTATTCACACATTTTGTGGTGAATGACAATATACAAGATGAAATTTGGTGTTTAAAATTCAATTAAGCTGCTTATATTGGGAATTTAGTGGAGACGGGTCATTTTGACCCGGAGGACAAAGGGTGTATACAGAAAATGAGGACAACAGGAGGGTTAAAGTGTAACATATAAAAAGTGTCTTTTACTATGATGAAAAGACTGTTGATTATTTGGAAGCGTTCACTGTGGAAGAATGTCCTGCACACACAAACCCACACACTAAATACACACTAGAATAGATGCAGACAGCACCAACAAGAGCCCTGCATATATCATTAAATAAAGAGTGATTAGTTCTAATGGTGAATATTGATTGTTGTAGGCTGATGTAATTTCAGAGGGTAAAAGGCTTAGTGTTATGGCACTTAAGGCCTGTAAATTGAACATTGCAAACCTAATGTGGTTAAAGGTTCCCTCGCTTGTTTGTTTAGCATATACTGTAATACTCTTATGGAATTTAAGCAAGAATCAATTACTATTACCATGCACTGGATTTAGCTACAAAAACAACTGAATGTGTGCTTAACATGTTTTTGATGATGACATTTTTTTCCTTTTTACTATAAACTACCATAAGAGTAGTGTCTCACCAAGATGCAACTGCTGGAAATTAGATGGCAATGCAAAATTACAAGAAAATAGTCAAATTCTCAGTGTGTGAGTGGTTGTGACCAATTGAGCTGCAAGCCATGCGGCCTCATTTTGTGAGGTCAGTTTTTGAAAATGATGGCCAATTTTTGTATGTATGGCTTGGAAAACTGTATTCTATGTCTTGCACAGACATTATTTTGTTATTGGTAGTATCCATCATACCTGCCTAATTTGTACTGACCAGTAGTCCTATATTAAAATAATTAATTTATTGGAGTTTTATAATGAAAACAGACAGTGTTAAACTAGTGTTTTCAATTAATATTCATCATTTAAGTGATTAGAAGTCAGCATTATGGGTGTAGCCTTGGATGTTTCCTTTCGTAAGTACACTACTCTTAGGTACAAGAACACCACCCTTATCATTACATTATCAGTTGCTTTCTCGAATGATCGAACAATTGCTGTGGATTCTGAGATTTAATGACAATAATATGAACATCCAACTTCAGGAAATACAGAAAAGTTCAGCTGAAATGTTGACTAGAAGGTTGAGGTCTTTGAAAGACTTGAAAAGTGGGCGGAATTGTTAAAAAGATTGGTGTTTTTACCGGGGTCTTATAGGTTGTACAATGCTGTATAGCTGAATAAAGCTTGTAGCATGGATGCTATAAAATGCTGATAAAATGTTTGGAGCATAAGCGTAAGTGCATGGTTGCACTTTTACTGGCCAAATTTAGCCCATCCCATCACTGGAATCCAACTGTTGGGTAGCATTTTAGCTTGAGAAAAATGACAAAAAATACTCGTTCCATGTGGGGACAATGGCTGTGTCCTGAGTCACTGTTAAAAGAATTGTAGCATAATGTTTAGTGGTTCTCACATTGGAGTTGGATGCAGTTTTCCAGAATTTCTTTAAGTTTTAACACAGCTAAATCAGTGAATTGTTATTGAAATCAATGGAGTCGATACCAGAGTCTTTACACACGAGTGTTGAGCAGACATAGTCACGTGACTAGGGTTCTTTAAATAATCTGATTGGAGATCGCCATTACAGAAATTAAATTGAGATAAGTATGAGACATAGTTTTTGGGACAGTTTTTTGTGTCATGGGTTTAACTGGTCCAGTTTTAAACAAAAATAAATAATAAAAAATGGTACAAAAGCTGGAGTAAATCATTGGGTTTGCTAAGGCTGACTAACAGACCAGACAAAGTCTTGCTTTGTATTCAGTAGAAAATTGTTTGCGATGCAATGTTAATATTGGCCAATATCTCTCTATATTCTCTTTTGAATGGCTTATGCTTCCTTTCGTGATCTGAAAGCACATTATCCCGCAGATGGCTGAGTGAGTGGTGACCTTTCAGAACTTTTAGGTCAGAGGTCGCTCATAATCTGCCTATCACCATTCTTGTCATAACCCGTCTGACATTTTACTAACCCTGATTCCAAATGCCAAGCCCTAATCTGTCAGGCAAAAACTGCCAGGCTGCAGTCCTCCTACCTCATGCAAGATATTTTCCTTTTTAATCCTATCTACAGCACCACATTTTTCTGAGAATTAGGCTTATACGTATATCAAGGTAAGTGTCCAATATCAGTTTGATTCAGACAGTTGCCTTTCATTCTTTTGTCAGCTTGGCGACTTCTAATTATGTGTAACAGGTTAATAGTGGCCTGAAATTTGTTAATGTGAGAGAAAACAAGGTAAACAGATTTGCTGCTTTTATGTTTATTTTGTAAGGTAAAATATGCAGTATGATCTAGTGGAGTTGGTATTTCTCATTCAAAGGCAGAAACACTTTATGAAAGAAAGGTATGTTACACATTATTCATACCTGTCAACTTTTGGATTTAAAAATAAGGGAAATTTTTTGCCGGGCACGCGAGCGGTTCCACTAGCCAGGACCCCTTACATTTTAAGACATGTTTACATGAAATCTAAAATAACTACCTGACAGCCACTTACAAACCACAGTTATGTGATCAGAATCTGATAAGCTTACCTT